AAGGAAGGAAGGAAGGAAGGAAGGAAGGAAGGAAGGAAGGAAAGAAGGAAGGAAGGAAGGAAAAAAGAAGGAAGAGAAGCAGCTGAAACTATTATTTACAAAATGCTTATTCTGTACAAAGCAGCTCTAAATTGTATGTGTGCGCACACGCGCATGCACACGCGCATGTGTCTGTACCTGTGTCTGTTTGGTTAATTATCAGAGAAATTCTGTGATATAATCAGAATGATCTGTACTTTGCAATTGAGGACATTATAGCTCAGAGAGGGTATGTGACTTGCTGAAGATCACAGAACTATAGAGACAGAATGGCTCTGAATCCAGATCTCCCTGCCTTGTGCTGGCAGTGTTCCCTTGGTTCCTCCAGTCTGGCTCCTCACTATTCTTCACCAGATCCTGTACCCTAGGAGACTGATAAGATGATGTCAGTGGGCTTCCTGGTCCTCCATTTCTGGTTTTGTTTGGTTGATGGAGTCCAAGTAGGTAGAACACAAAGCCTGGGTACTTAACTCCCTCAGCTTCCTCTCTGCAGGCTGGTCCATGCGCAGGCCATCATCTCTCAGCTGCTATCTTCTGTGACTGCTTCCCTGCCCCATCTCTTCAGGCCCCGTGATAACTGCATCCTCCTTGTGGATTCTCTACCTCAACCCTGCAAACATTCCCTTTCCTAAACTCTCTCTAAATCACCCTGAATTGAATGTACCATCTGCTCACTATTGGGACTCTTCCGGGACAGCTGATAATATTCTGCCTGGCTAGATTTTCAGGCCAGCCCATTACTCACTGAGAATGCTGACCAGGTCTTACTCTGACAGACACTAGGGAACATAATGATTAGTGTCCTTGCCACAACCACTTCATTCTGGCAGAAGCAGCTAGGAGCTACTCCCCCTGCAGCTGCTACCACTACACTCTAATTCCTGGGCTGGCAGGGAACTTTGTTTGGGTCTTGCTTTTAGAATGGATGCTGGGCAAGGGAGATTCCATGGTGAGCCCAAACCTATCTGGGATGCTTGGTATCATGATGCAAGTGACACGTCTACTGAATTTATGGTTCCAAATAAGGTTTGTAAAACTTTGTAGTTTTCTTTTTCCTTCCTTCCTTGCTTCCTTCCTTCAGTTGTGCTATCTCTGACCTTTTGGGCTCAAGGCTAGCATTCTACCACTTTGAGCCACAGCTCCATTTCGTTGTTTTGGTGGTTAATTGGAGACCAAAGTCTCATGGACCTTCCTGCCTCAGCTGGCTTCAAACTGCGGATCCTTAAATCTCAGCCTCCTGATTAGCTAGGATACAGCTGTGAGTCACCAGCACCTGGCCTTTGTGTCCCTTTCCTGTCTGGAGTTACTGTCTGGGCAGCAGAAGCCATGACAGCAGAAAGTGGCTATGGTCTTCAGCCAGAGTTGGCAGGTAAGTGCCTCCAAATGACAATGCAGATTAAAAGTCAGTAATCCTGACCTAGGTCATTTATGCTTGAATCTCTGGCTTTCAAGTGATGGATACCAACTCCAGGAATTTGAGTGGTGTCCACCTGGGTGATGGGGAAAGGACCGATTCCATGCAGGGACCTGACGCAGGCCT